CTGCATAATTAAAACTATAAATATTAAAGATTATTAAAATACTGTTTGAATAAAAAGGTCTTGGCCTGGTGCCAAAAAACAAATAACGACGGTACCAGACAGACCTCTCTGGGGAGCGCATTCCACAGATGGGGCGCCACTGCAGAGAAAGCCCTCCTCCGGGTACTTTGCTTCCTGATATCTCTTATGGAAGGCTCCTGGAGGAGAGCCCCTGCTGCCGATCTCAAGGGGTGGGAGGGCAAATATGGCCGAAGGTGTTCCTTCAGGTATCCATTGAGTAGGCAAAATGATAACTATTATTTCTTTCTTCTGTCTTTTACTATGCATGCATTTGATGAAGCTTTTGGCATCCTTCATTAGCCTCAGCTCATTTTCTTTTTACCCTTCCTGAAACCATTCCTGCAATTCCATATTACCTCTATTCTTCTTTTGCAACCTGGCCTTCCTTCCACTTCCTATGCATGTCCTTTTTGTTTGTTTTTAGGACAAATCTCATCTTTTTGCAAAGCTATATTAGCTTCTATATTTTCTTCTTCTTATAATCGTCTGCTATTGAACTTTTGGATTGCCCTTTAAAAAAAAAAAAATTGCCATCCATCTTGGATTCCTTTTCTTAGTAGAGTTACTTGCCATGGAAACGTTATTGAAATTGGCTTTCCTAAAGTCCAGGATACATGTTTGGCTACATTCAGCTTTTGCTTCCTTTAGAATCAAGAATTCAAGTATGACATGGTCACTTTTCCCCAGAGTTCCTCTAACTGCCATGTCATCCACTAGTTCATCTCTGTGGTTTAGAATAAATTCAAGGATAGCCCATCCTCTTGTTCTTTCCTCCACTTTCTGTAGGAGGAAGGTATAAATGACACAATTCGGGAATCAATTGAAGGATCTATGTTTGGCAGAATTTGTCTCCTATTACTACAAAAGCATACCTCCTGGGAACATTAGCAATTTTCTTTTCAAAAATTTCATTCTTGTCTTTTCCTCAACTGGGTGGTTGGTCATAGAAGCTGTCCACTATGTTCCTTTTACTCTTGCTCCATTTATTTGAATCCAGATGCTATAAATGCAGCTATTAAGCTCATCATCCTTTATTTTTCTGTAGAGATATCTTTAACAAAGAAAGTGACTCTGTCATTCTTTTTGTTCTTTCTGTACTTGAACAAGTTCAGAAGGGTTATACCAGGAATGCATATGCACAAGTTAAATGAATTCAAATATATTTTAGTGCTTGCAAAGCAATCATAAAAAATGAAGAAGGAAAAGAACTGCCTGATCAACAAAATATCAAGAATAGATGGTGAGAATACGCTGAAGAACAATACACCAAAAGCAGTGGGACTGAACTGCATCAGGATAATTCAGAAAATGAAACCAAAATAGAAATAGAACCAGACATTCTTGAGGAGGAAGTAGCATAGGCAATGTCAGCTGCCAAACAAAGCATGAGGCATTGACAACTTCCCTGCAGAGTTGCTGAAGCAGGTACCAAACAGAACCATGACAGCCTTATGCTGGAAGCTCTGGGAAACCAGCACATGGCCAGAGAACTGGAAGCACCCAATCTCCATTCCCATTACAAAATAATGGCAACTCAAAGGACTGTTCTAATTACTGCACAATTGCCCTCATCCCTCATGCTAGAAAAATTCTCCTTAAAATTATATAACAACACCTGGCATCTATATGCCATGGAACTACCTGAAGTTCAAGTAGGCTTTCAGAGAGGCCAGGGCACTCATGACCATATCACAAATTTGTGCTGGATTATGGGGAAATCTCAAGAATATCAAAAGAACATTTACCTGAGCTTTGTTGACTATAAGAAAGTCTTTGACTGCATTGATCGTGACAAGTTGTGGAAAGCACTAAAAGACCAGGGGGCACCAGCATGTCTGGTCAGATTGCTGCAATCATTATAAACAAACCAGCAAGCAGCTGTAGGATCATCATATGGGGACATTGACTGCTTTAAGGTAGAGAAAGGAGTCTGACAAGGATGTATTCTCTCCCCTTTTCTGTTCAACTTGTATGCTGAAATAATCTTGAGGAGGATGCATCTTGAAGAATCAAAAGTTGAGATAAAGATTGGAGGAAGGACCATCAACAGCCTTTGTTATGCTGATGACACAGCCTTCCTCTCAGAAACCCATGAAGGTCTAAAGCTATTGATCCAAGGAATCAAAGAAGAAAGTGAGAAGTTTGCCCCCCTTCTGAACATCAAAAAGACAAAGCTCTTGATGACTGCAAAGAATGAAGTCACCAAAATAGCAGTTGATTATGTGGAAATTGAATGTGGAGAGGAATTCATTTTCCTGGAATCACTGATTGCTCTCAGCAGTGAATGTAGTCCAGAAATAAAGCAACTAATTTCATTAGGTTGTATGGCAATGACAAGAATGAATCAAGTGTGGAAAAACAACATCAGCTTGGTAACCAAGTGTAGATTGGTCTGAGTGATCGTTTTTCCTATAGCAACCTACAGTTGTGAAAGTTGGACAATGAAAGTTAGACAAGAGGAAAATCAACTGTGGTCTTGGCAGAGCTCTTCTGCATTCCATGGTCAGTGGTGGTGACAAAAAAGCGGGTGCTGGAGCATATTAAACCAGTCTCATCCCTGGTTGGCAAGATAACAAGGCTGAGACTCACATATTTTGGCCACATCATGTGATCAAGCTCATTAGAAAAAGATACAATGCTTGGAAGGCTCAGCAGTAATAGAAAACTAGGTTGCCAAAGAGTGAGGTGATTAGACTCCATCAAAGAAGATGTGGGCCAGAGCATAGTTCTGAAAGAGGTGGCACTGGATCGAAAAGTGTGGTGAGCTTTGGCCCATAGGATTGCTTATAGTCGGACATGACTGAACAGCTGACCAGAACATGACATAACATAACTTGAACAAGTTATATTCTTAATCTGCTGAATTCCAGTCATGGAGTCATCCCCTCAAGTTTTAGCTATTCCAATCAAGTTTTATTCACCTTCCTGTATCAAGAGGTCACATTACTGCAATCTGCTACCCATATCCCAGCCTTTAGTGTATAGATGATCTCTTTCAGAATCCATTCCTCTATAATCCACAGACTTTCTTTTGTTTTCAGTCTTGTCTTCCAAAGTGAGCTGAGCCACGAAGTCCATGAATGCACACAGACCCCAGTTGTACACTCAGCAACCTTTCCTGTTATGTGCAGCTGCCCAAACAGCTGCTGCAGGATACCAGGCATGCCAGGGACCATTCCCAATGACTTTCCTGCCCATGTCTACCCATAATAGCAACACAGGGCATGGAAGAAGGGCACCACTTACACAGCACGTGGGGCTCAATTCCTGGAGAGTTCTTCACAAACATTCAGGGCGCTCCCCAGGAACTTGTGCTCTGGACTTCTACAAAGCAGATGGCAGTCTGTGAAGCTGAACTCAGGAATTCCAATGGATTCCCAGCCCCAAACAGATACCTTGCCATCCCTAATACAGGCATCAAAGACCACATGCTTTAAAGGCTAACCTCCTACTACCATTTTGGAAAACAATTTGCAAATATTAAAGCTTCTCTCACTGTTGTGGTATATGCCCCTTTGCCCACTGTTCTCCCCAAGCTTCCTTCACCTCCCCCTGTAGGATTCAGCTTTTTGTAATATACATATACAATGCATTTGAGTGTTTTTCTTATTAATATGCATTTTGAAGTATATGTTCCCCAATATAAACTCGTGTGTGTTTGTGTGTGTGTGTGTTTACTGGAGAATTTGACTCCAAATTTTGAGAAATGCACATTTTGAAGGATAACTGATATTTTAGTTCATAGCCTGTTTTGAAAGCATGAAATTAAGTTACATTAAAATGCAAACCAAACAAATTTGTGTCTGTCTGTATTCCTTGTGCTACATGCTCTCAAGAATTACCACTTCTTGTGCTCCTTGTGCATAGGAGAAAATGTAGCTGGAAAAGATGGAAAAAATTACCACAACAACTATTGAACAAAATTACCAGTAAAGCTTTCAGGTTGGGATCACCTTTATGGGAACTGTAGCTTGGCTTCATTTTCTCTCTTTTTGCTAAAGTTTTGTTTGGTTTGGTTTTTACTACCAGTGCAGGTGACAAGAAGAGCTACACTGGCAGCACTTCTTGTCACAACATTGATCACCATAAAATGTTTCAGCTACAGTGGAGGCATGCCAAGGTTTGTTATGTGCAAACCTGGCAAAAGTGGGTTGTTGGGGTGACTGTCAAGCAACTCAGAATTCATGGCCTCTTTTAGGGTTCAAGCGGCTTATTAACCACCCTTGCCAGATTCATATATAAGGAAAAGATATGGTGTACCCTGGCAGTGGCTTGAATATACAAAATAGCAGCTACTCCCACAACAGAAGTCCTATGGGAAAATTCATTTATGGGGGCTCTTTGTTATATGTGACCATAGATGTTATCTACCAACATTTGGCAGTTTACTATGTTCCCTGGACATTTTTTATTCCTTCCCCTCATCTGAAACTTAACCAAGAACGATGACAATGTACTGTCTCTGCATCTATTCCATATTTTATAGCCATTTATCTATTTGTGAATTATATATTAACTGAAAGAGCTCAGCGAAGCATGTTTGTATCTCCTGTCCACTCACCCTTCAGTTCCAAAGCAATCCTGTGAGATAGATTAGAATAAGAAATGCTGACCCACCCAGAGGTATCCCATGAGCTTCACGGTTGAATGGGAAGTTCATCCTCAGTCTTCCCCCAGCTAGGACAACTTTCAAGGAATTACACAGAACTGGCCCTCTATCTTGCACACAGTGTGGATTTCTGCTTGAGTGGTTTTGCTGCTAAAACTAAGTCATGCTTTCCCTGATCCAAGTTGGATGTGTAGGTTCTTGGGAATCATTATCTTAAAGCCACATCAAATTGCTAAAAAGGGCAATAAACAATAAAAATGAAGTATTTAAATAAACATACTTAACATTGATAAAAAGTGAAATGCAACTAAATGATATAAAGCATTCTTACCCTGCCCACCAGCACAGGATCCGGTCCTGTATATTCCTCTATTACAAAGAACTGATTCCAAACCCATCCTCTTTTTGAACGGTGGAGAACTTGCCCTTCCTTTCCTTTTTCGTGGTGACCATGGAGTGATGACCTTGGATAGTTCAGTTTTTCTGTCACCATGGCAAGGCTGTAGCATAACATTCCCAGGCATATAAGGGCAGCATGCATATAGTTTTTGTCCTTCATTTTTGGTTAATGTATAGGCACCAGCGTTTTTCCAAATCTAACACTTTCTCTTTCAGGTCCACCAGAAGAGTAAAAAGGGAATAATATAATCCTTTAGAAATTTCAGATGTAGCAATCCGTCACTGAAATGTTGTGGTTCCTTAACCACATAACTTTAATTCTGTATGGACTTCTAAATTATTCCTTAGAAAGAAGAAAAGAGAGAAAGAGAAAGAACAGAGGACCAAGTTAGTTGTCATGTGCCAATTCTAGACTCATCTGCATATTAAAACATAAGCAACAACTTGACATAAACATGATTCCGTTGTCTGTTCCAGGGTAACACTGAAAATGTCATCACTGCCTTTTGGGGAAGGGTAGCCCTATTCAGATAGGCAGACTTGTCAAACCAGGGCACTAACATGACCCATCTGCACTTCAGCTCAATGTAGGGTGCAGACCAACACCAGCATAGGTCTACTCCTGAACTCTTATAGAGCATTTTATTTATTTATTTATTTATTTATTAGAACATTTCTATGCTGCCCCTTGCCGAAGCCTTGGGGCGGCTTACAACACAATAAAATACAATAAAATACAAAAATAACAATATCAAATTAAAATTAACAATATAAAGTAAATAAAAATATAAAAGATATAAAATAAGTTATAAAAGAAAAGAAAAGAAGTCGCCCTGGAACATGCTAAGGGCATACAAAGGGAAGACTTGGGTGTTGCTTTATTATCTTCCTTTTATTGAAGAAGGAAATTACAGTAAATTTAAAAAAGACAAATGAAATATACAAGAGATTTTTTTCCACAGATTGTTAATTGCAATAGATTTGATCAGTGATAGCTATAAGAAAATCATCAAATATTTACAGTAACATCCAGAATGTACTGGGATTATTAAGTAATTACCAGGAAACTTTAGAATAAAACAATAGCTACACAAATGTATGAAAATGTTTACTATCGGTTATTCAGGCATGAAGAACTAAACACAAAATATTAACCACACATCTAAGTCATTATCCTTTATTTAGTAATTAGGTCTTAAAGCAGTAATTGCCTGAAATCACTTTAGTTTTAAATGTCTCTGCATAGGGGAAGGGTCTATGTCTTCTGCAATCCTGTTTTATTGGACCTTGTTGACCTGACAACAATGCCCGAAAGTCTTTTAACAAATAAAACAGATTGATCATTTCGGTTTGAAACAGTACAGATTAAGTCCTAAACTCAGTCCTAATCCCATGGACTTTTCTGATGAGCAATAGATGAACCCTTCTAAGCTTAATATATATATATATATCTGAATACTTCTGCAAGCATTCTTATAGAACAGGGGTCCCCAAAGTGTGGTTCATGGGCACAAGCAGCCCACCAGCTTCACCCTCAGCATTTCCTCTCAGACCCACCCTGTTCTTCCTGCCTCAAGCAGCACCATGAGCTTCCCTTTTCCACCTCTTCCTCCAGGAAGTCCCCTTCCCCTCAGCTGGCTGCCATTTTGCTTCTCATGATTGAGGCTTGGCTGGCTGGCAGGCAAGGCCCTGCCGATAGTTCAAAGCCAGCTAAATGGCATATCCTCTGCTCTAGGTCCTGGCTGCCCTTTCATTCGCTCTTCTTCCTTCCCACCTGCCCCTTTTTGGAGGGCCCACAATCTTTAAAGCATTAGTGTGCGTTGATGTAAACCTCAAGGCAGTGCCTTTATTAAGAAATGAATCTCATAGCGTTCAGTGTGCCTAGGATTGCAACTTTGCCATCCGGTGGGTCAGATTCATAATCCATTTTTAAAAAGTTCTTCCTAGCCTGTGCATATGGCCCAGGATTCCGGAGAACTGCAGAGCAGGGGCTTGCTTCTTTTCTTTGCCACAGTCCAAATGAAAATCCCCAGCTAAGAGCAGCCAGAGTGGGGTGGATTTGGTGGGAAAAGGAAGAGTTAGAGCCCTAAAACTGTACTTCTCATATTTTGATTTATCCAAGGAAAATATTGAAACTCTGCAACTGCTGCTCTGCTGAAAATTCCATAAGAAGCGGTCTGCTTGTGTTGTGTCTTTAATGAGAAATGGTCTACTGAGTACTTCTTTGTGTTAAGCAAGCATAAAGCAGTTTGCCTGATATGTCTTGAAAGTGCCTCGGTATTCAAGGAGTACAATGTTAAAAGGCACTTTGAATGCTGTCACAAGAGCTACTCAACAGATCAAGGAGATGTGCGAGTGAACAAGAGAAAATCCCTTTTAAAAAATCAATGTTTCTGCGGCAACAAATTTTTAGAAAGCACATTGAGGAGAACCTGTAGACTATCCAGGCCACCTTTCATGTTGCTAAATGTATTGCTGAGAGTGGCAGGCCATTCACGGATGGTGAACTTGCTAAGAAGTGCATGGCTAAAGTAATGGAGGAAATGTGCCCTGACAGGGTATCGTGTGTTGGTTGTGTCACTTTATCTACATTTGCAATCACTAGAAGTGCACAAGAGAAGAAGGATATGTTACTGACTGTCAAGGCAAAAAGCTATTATTTTTTCTCTTTGGCATTAAATGAGAACAATGACTTTATAGACACTGCTTATACATTACAGAAGAATAATTTATACATTATTCTTAGAGTCCAGAATTACAGAAAAATTGTGTGCACTGCAAAGTTTGAAGGCACTAGAACTGCAGAAAACATATTGCTTAAGGTATGTGAATCAGTAGAAAATCTTGGTCTGAGTTGGAATGAATTGAAAAGCATGACAACTGATGGTACAAGAAATATGGTGGAAAGTAAAGCTGGTGTACTTGCAAGACTAAGTGAAGAGATATTGAAATTAAATGGTACACTTCCCATGCAATGTCATTGCATCACCCATCAGGAAGTCTTGTGTAATAAGAGGCTTCAGTGGGAAAGTGTGATGTGTATTATTGTATCCAGCATTAATTATATCTGGACCTTATGTATTGTCCGTTTCAAAATTTTCTCTCAGAAATAGAGGCAAAATATGCAGGTGTACTATATACTATACAGAAGTCAGGCTTAGCAGAGTTAAATCCTCAAACCATTTTTCACTTCATCATGAAGTTGATGTCTTTCTCAAGGAAAAAGGAAAAGGTCAAGAAGCACGTTCTGTCCCCGGATGGATTTTTGATTTGGCTTTCATAACTGATATCATAGAGCATCTGAACACATTGAATCTAAACTTGCAGGGGAAAGGAACGCTTGTGTGTGGCATGAATTCTGAGTGGAAAGTTTCTGAGGCAAAATGAAACCTTTTTGTGATGCAAGTCACTGAAAGTAGCTTTTCAAACTTCTCCTGCTGCAATGAACTGAAATTCATTGTAAATTCCATTTACAATTCATTGTTGAAAGACACATCAAAGCACTGAACCTATTGCAGGTGGGATTCCAGAAGAGATTCACTGATTCTTGCAAGCATGGAAAAGAAATAAGAATGTTTTGGAATCCATTTGAAGTAGCACCAGAAGTTGAAGGTAACTTTTTTCAGATGGAGCAAATTTTGTGAACATTTAGAGACATTTGCAAAGAAAACAGTCTGTTAGACTTCTATTGTGGTCTAATATTTTTATCATCCTAAAGAAGTTTGCTGCAGAAATGTTCAGTCTTTGGAACCACATCTGTGAACAAAATGTTTTCCAAGATGAAAATTGTGAAATCCAAGTGTAGGTCAAGACTTACAGATGAACATTGACACAACATTTTTACAGCATCTGTCACCAAACTTGGCTTAGACATTAAAGCTTTGGCTAACAGAAAACAGCTATAAAAATCACACTAACTAGGAAAACATGTGTGGCTAAATAAAAGGATTCCACAGAAAAATATTGTTCCAAAATGGCTTACATTCAAGTTAACATTTCTTTATTGACCTCTGAGTATTTACTTTATCTAAGTCAGTAGCTTAATTGTTTTGTGACATTTTGATTTAAGATGTGGCACTTTTTAGGTATTGGGTACACTAATGCAGCCCCTGTGTCCCAGAAGGTTGGGGACCACTCTTACGGAAGATGGCTGTGGGACCTCTTGTGTGGTAGAAGTTAGGTCATGCTGGAACAGATCAAAGGCCTATCTAGTTCGGCATTCTGTGTCCACAGTGACCAACCAGGGACAGAGCACAAGCACAATTGTATCTTTCTTCTCATGTTTCTCAGAAATTAGCATTCAGAGACACACTGCCTCTAAAACTGGAGGTAATATACAGCCATCGCTATTAGTAGCCAGCAATCACGTTATCCTCCATTAATTTGTCAATTGGGAAGGTGTGTTACAGAGTCTACAATACTGAGATTGAGTAACTTCAAACTTGACAAAACTTTTCCCTGTTTCCCCTTCTTTCAAATATATATATAATTTTTCTATACATTATAAACCTTCCAGTTTAAATTTAGTCAGGAAAACGGTAACAAATGAACCACAGACTAAAACAAGTGGGATTATAATTCAGTAGCAGTTCTACAATAGAGGACACAATGTCTGGCCAGTGGTACTCAAACATGCTCTCTATAAAGCAAATACCCAATGCATGTGTACCTGTATGTGCATGCACCAATGTGGACACACACATATTGGAGGAAAACAAATTTCCATTTCGTTCTTCAAACATTGTGAACTGGCACTCAAAAGAGTAAACATTTCGTTATTGCCTAACTAGCACATCTACAAGATAAATTAAAATAGTATTTTTTCTGCAGGGACACGGATTTAACAAGACGCATTTTTAGACTGTACTATATAATGACATTATGATGGATAACATAATTTTGGCACAGTCTGTAGTCATAAGGAGAGTCTTCTTTTCGAGAAAATGCACAGTCCACATACCTTAAACTCCCCCACAGTTAGATAAATAAACAACAGAGGATTGCAGCTCAGGAGGAGAGCACATGTTTGCCTTGCTACTCATGTCCCAGGCTCAGTCCATAGCATCTCGGGGGTAGGATATGATTCCTCCCTCTCCCTCTGCCTCCCTCACAATTACAGCACAATCATAACCATGTCCACTCAAAAGCAAGTTTCGTTGACTTCAATAGAGCACACTTCCAGAAAAGTTTTATTTATTTATTTATTTATTTATTTATTAAAACGTTTTTATGCCGCCCCATTTGCCGAAGTTAGCATAGGATTGTTGCCTTGCAAAACAGGTATACAACCTATAGTGGGATATATGAGCACAGACAGTCCACACCATCCCAGACCTGATGCCC